AAAATCAACCGCAGGGAAAAAGGCGCAGGGAGGTGTCACACGTGGCAAAGCCAAACCAAGCAGAGGTACATCAAATTTTTCTAGACATGCAGCAGCTTTGTGATTTCAGGAAGGAAACCTTCGTCCCTCCCCACCCCGCGCACCGGTGCGCGGGAGCAGCCCGGCGAAGGGGCCCCGCGGCGCCCGGGTGATGTTTTCCAGGAGAAGTCGCTTTTGCGGTGCCGGGGCGCATCACCTGTTGGCCATATATCCCTGGGCTGCTGAGCCAGCGATTGTCTTCTGCTGTGTGTTAAGTGATGGGAAACAGGTGCCAGCCATCCCAGACAGGTTCTTGAAATCCCCCGGCCCCTGCACCACCACGTCGAGCTCGGCTGCAGCTTTGCTCTTGAGCCAAACCACCACTACAAAGGATTCTTCTCCCCCCTCCATCTGCCTGGGGTTTAATTCTCTCCTCGCTCATTTGAGCTGGGCAATAAAGCACGCTAGAGACGAGCCAAGAGACCTACCCCTGTATTGTATTTTGTTCTACAGAGCGGGGAGGGGGAAAGGCTCCTTCACCTCCCAGGTCAGCTCAGGAGCAAGGGGAAGGAGATGTCCCCCGTGGAGGGATGCGCCCCCGCCTGCTGCCTGAACAAAGCGGGTCCGTCGGCCGCGCAGGAGCCGCTGCGGCTTCATTCTGCCCATGCAATGCAACAAGCTGCTCTGGGAGGGGAGAAGAGCAAGCCCAGGCTTTGAGGAGTTGCTACCACCAGGAGGAAGATGGCAGCACTGTACCGGCTGGCCTCGCTGAGGAGGAGACCGGCCCAGCACAGGGAAAAGCAGTGCACTTTCTACCACGCTACTCACAACCTACACGTCCTGGCTGCCTCCGGGAATCTGTTGACGTAGCTTAGTCCCACTTGCCAAGCCCTGCTTAGCTTTTGTGATAAGGGCTAGGCGTTATTTCTAAGTTTCCAGGTGAATTTCCAGCACAGATCAGCCACGGGACAAAGCCAGGGAAGCACATGCCCTTGCTTGACACAAGATCTTCTCCAACGGCACGTCCACATCTCAAGCTCTTGCTGCTGAGCGCGCGTGCCCCTCTAAAATCCAGGAGCGGTCCTACAGAGCAGTTTGCTTTCCCGATTTCCTGGCGCTGCCACGAAAGCCGAGTGCTTTCGCCACGATGGGATCTGGGGATCGCTGTTTTCCCACACAAACCTTTCACCTTCCCAGTCCCTGCTCCTTCGCGCTCCAGTGGGAAAAGCTGCTTCTGTCCTTTCCCCACTTTCATCCAGGAGGAGCTGCAGCGACGCTAGCTCAGGCAGAACGTCTTTGGAAAAGCAAAGCAAGAAGCAGCCAGGATTCGGGGGCTGTCGCACGGGGTGGTGTCGTGTCAGGGTCCAGAGGGCTGTGTCGTGGATGGAGGGCTCTGGAAGCGACGGCCGAGGCTTCGCAGCAATAAGGGACAAATTCAGCACTTTCCCTCTGCTTTAGCCGCGATGCTTCCACCCTCTGCTCCTCAGTCCCCGATCGGCCGCACATCAGAAGGTGCAAAGTGAGCAAGGCATCAGTCTGACCTCAGAGCTGCCTCTTCGTCCTGCCTGCTGAAAACAAACGCCGAGACCCTGGCCCCTCCGCTCTGCCCCTCGATCCACTTACATCCCACCCTGCCTTCAGCACTCACAAGTTTTAGGGAATGATCGGAATAAAGCAGCTTGGGGTATGTTACACACGAATCGTTCTTTCCTTCTGCATATGTAGTATTTAAAAAAAACCCAGCACAAGCCCAGGTGGTGATTGAAAGTCTCTTAAAGCATTTGTATATTTTCCTCAGAAAATCCTCCACTTCTCCCCTTTTGCTGACACTGGGAAAGTTAATCCAGTGCTTGTATTTACATGGCTGCATAAAAGTTTCCCTGACTGCTTCTTAAAAAAAAAAAACCTTAAAAAACAAGTGATATATATATATGTATAATATTTACATAAATAAACGAAGAAGGCGAGCAGACTGCTTCCTTCCCCTTTCCAATTGGCCAATTCTTGCCTTGTTTTCTTTGTTTTTGGCAACAGCAGGTTAACAACCCGGTGAAAGCTGTCATTAGTCCCCTGTCCCCGTTTCTTTTTTTTTTTGTCTACATCCAATGATCACTATTGCACCAGCAATCTGTTCAGGAGTCCAAGAGTTAAAGTTGCAGCACAGACTCTTCTTGCCTACTCCCTTAAGCCTCTCAATCTTCCATTAAATCCATTTCTCCATTGAGACTGGATGAGCTTTTTCCCCTTCCCCCCTCCCCAACCCGGCAGCTGCTGAATTTTCCACCCCAGGCCGAAAGGCAAAGCCCAAAGCATTCTTGGAGGGTCACTTGGCAGAGTCCTCTCGCCGCCAGCGCTGCGAGATCCAGCCGGCACCACGCTTCCTATGCGAAGCCAAAACGTGAGCACATTCCCAACGCTTGTGCGTGCCATCAGAAAAGCAACCGCGGCCCATCCGCAAGGATCCAGTCGAAAAGGGTTAAGTGTGCAAACAGCTGTACATCGGTGGGTGGGTGTGGATACGTTAGAAGCTCACGGCGCGTCCATCCTGCTAAGAGATCTTGCAGTTGTTGCGTGAGCAGTTCTGTGGGGGGCTCTGGGGTGGACGAATGGATTTGGATCTCTTCAAGCTGTTACCTTTGCTGCTGCTCCCACCCCCGCTGCTGGCCAAGGAATACGACCGGCCGTGCATCATCACCGCGTTCATCCCGTTGGCCATCGAGAAGGATTTCAGGTGACTCTTGATGGTGACAGGCAACGGCAGCTTGTCGATGAGGTGGACTGGGGTGCAGGAAACGATGGCTCGGCAGCACAGGTCCTGTAAGCTGAACACTGGTGGGAGAAGAGACCAGACAGTCAAGGGCCAAGAGATATCAAGGGCTTCCTTCTCCCTACAACTATTCCTTATGCTGTGCAGTTCCTGCTCCTTTGGGGAGAGAAGCTAATAATGATTGCATAGGAGCCTTGAATAGGGGACAGATTAGTTGGGACAAAAGCTCGGGAAATTCCAGGTAAGCTCTGCCTTAGAGGTTAGTGCTTTGCGAGACACCAGCTTTGGTGTCAACACGGGGCTTAGACACTGCCACCCCTCCTCTCTGCACAGTGCCGGGACAGGCAGTGCCTGGCTCACGTTCCTGCCAGACACTTGGCTTCTCAGGCCATCGTTTGGCAGCCAGAAGGACATGCCCAGGGAAGGAGGCAACAGGGTCAGCAAGCGCCGGAGCAGGACAGTCTCATTTGGGACCTGCTCAGCGATCAGCAGCCATGGGGCCAGCTCTCTGCAGAGTGCCTGCAGCAACAGAGATCCCACCAAGCCAGAAGAAGGCTCTGCCCTTTCAGGCTTCCCAGCGTCCTCTTAGCTCAGTGTCCATCACGTGAGCCTGCTTTGGGAAGTCTACTTGGAGGGGATTTCCCAGCAAGCAGCCACACGAGGGCACGCTTTCACCTCCAGCCTGCCTGAAAGCCATGCTGCTATTCCCAAGCAGGCAGCCCCTATTCCCAAGCAGGCAACCAGCAGTTACAAGTCCTGCCTCTGGAAGAGGTTCGGAACAGGTCTGCAAATGCAGCCCAGTTCCTGCTCTCCTGCTCGCCATCCTTCCACGAGCTGGAGACAGCAGCCTGGCAGACAGGTCAGAGCAGATAATTTGGTGACTGGGGCTGGCAAACAGGATTTTCCCTCCCTCATGAGCGGGAGCTGAAGATCCATATGAAGGCAGGTCACCCCCGGAGTGCAAATCTCAGTGCTCAAGACTGCCAGTGGGGCAGACGGCTACCTCCAGCCAGAACATGGGACTTAAGACTATTTTGCTTCAAACACAACAGGCTGAGATGTAACACTGACTCTGCTCTCCACGCTGCAGCCTGGATATATGGAATACCCCAGCCCACTGCTCCACGCCGACAGCAGGGATGTGATTTAGATGCTTTCAGTTCCTTGGGCTCATTCTGCCTCCACATCTCTCCAAAACAGGAGACACAGGCTCAGGCAAGGGTAAGGACAGAGGTGCTTATGCTTGGATTCATCCCACACAGCCATTTGATTGAAGTACTTTCAAGTTGTGAGCTTAATTGCCTTCAGCCTCATCCAGAATAAGCGGAGAGGTGTAGGATGCCCCGGAGCAATTCAGATCCTAGACATGCTGAACTGCCTTTTGGAGCTGCCCATCCCTCACCGCTGCCTGCCGGGTTCCTGTGCTAGTACAGGCAGCTTCTTGTGGCTCAGCTTCAGCTTGTCTGACCCGAGGCATTTCTCCATGTCAGGTGCTTTCAGATCCCACAGTTACTAATAAATACACCTCCCACCTAGGCAGTCAGTCCTATCCCTCCATTTCAGCCCAGCCAGCTCTCACGCCTTCCCCACGCCGAGCACCTTCCTCACCACTGACCTCTGTTGGGTCTCCAGATCTTCTCCATGCCGTGCCGCATGAGGACGATTCGGGACAACTCCGTGAAGGACTCTATGACGTTGAAGTTACACAGGGGGCTGACCTCAAAAAACGTCATGCAGTTCTTCTCCGCATAAGCCCGGGCCTGTTCCGTTGGCACCTGCCGCTTGAAGGCGAGGTGAAGCCTGTTTCCCACCAGGATCCGAGGGACACCTGGGGCATGCTTAAAAAAGGAAGGAAGCGGAGAAATCATGGCTTGTCCCTTAGTAAGGGCAGCCTACAACGAGTATTCTGCTTAGCTGCAATAGCAGTGAAGGGCAAAGAAACAGAAACTGCTCTGCGACCGAGAGGGACTGACGGTGAGGATTATCCCCTCTACAGTCCATTTTAGAGGGAACCTTCCGTTCTTGGCCATTCCCAAGCCCTTTCCTACTACTCCGGATTTACACAGAAGTGTAGGGCAGACACTTATCCCCTTGCTTTGCTTATTAGCAGACTACCATCGTTTCCTCTCCACAGCAGAGCCATTCTTGTCCCCATATCAGAGGTGGCACCTCCTCGGATTTTTGCTATAGACCACTGCACGTGTTCTTCCATTCAACTTACCTCATCTATTTCCTTTATCCATCGGTCTATGCCATCGAAGGACCAGCGATTAGTGATGTCGTACACCAAGAGAATTCCCTGGTGGAAGAAAATCAGGAGCAATCAGGAAGTTTTGTAGTAGGCAAACTGAAAGGGAGACACATCTGAAAGACCACCTCCATACGCAGAAGCCAAAAGGTTAAGGGACAGAACATTGCTCCAGCTGCATTATTTGTGTGCTTGCTAGGGCAAAAATTGAAACAACAGGTCTGTACTAACTCAGTCCCAGACTATTAGGGAAGGTTTTATTCCTGTTTTGGCTTGAACATCCCCCAAATCATTTCCAAAGCAGCAGTTTCTGCAAAGGAGGAGGCACTGCCTCAGTGACTGTGTATCTGGAGGAGCAAGGCTGTGCAAAGCAAAACACGCCCTCCTCCTGTCACAAATCCGATACAAACTCACTGAGGCAGAAACAGTCTTTTTCTTTTCCCCTTATGCAGAACAGCTGCATTCAGCGGTGGGATGATAGCAGAACATGACAAAGTTAATAAAACACACCCATCTTCAGCATGTTTTCCCTCTCCAGAACCTGTCTCATTCTGTTGTCCCTCTGCTGGCAGGGAAGAAGTTGAGTGATGCCAACAAGCAACACAGCATCTCCGCAGGACAGATCTCATCACCAGGATCCATGCCAGGCTTTCCTGAAGGCAGCCGGTGTTGCTAATTGTCACTGCCACACCGGCAGAGAACAAACACAGTGCAGCGATGCTGGCAAA